CCCCTCAGAAATTATCTCCGGCACCGTACATCCGATCTTGACGAAACTTTCCGTAAATGTTCGGCACAATGAGTTACGGGAATGAAAATTTTTTTTTGTTTCCAAGTCTTACGATTTAGGAGTTTTCCAGAGATCAAGGTCCAAAAAGGACCCTGAACGGCGTCCCAAGATTTTTTAATATACTTCAAGCTGGAGAGTTCGGGTTTGTTTTATTTTAAACTAGACACCTAACTACATCGACTGACCGGCGCTGATTTTTCAATTAAGCCTTTATTCGTTTTCCAGGCAACCAATAACCTGCGAAACTCGAAAAAGCCTTCCGGATTTTCTAAAAATCCTCAGTTTGACAAAAAACTAAGACCTAATTCAAAAATCGACGCCCGTCAGTCGATGTAGTTTCTTTTCCTCTTTTAAGCAAAAAAAGAATGAACTCTCTACGACAAACCGCTATTAAAAATCGTGGGACGCACTTCAGGTGTCACTCTAATATAGCGAAAACGCTGTGTTAAACGCTGTATGAAATAGTCGATTTTATGACTTCTAGGAAAATGCCTGTAACTTTTCGATGCAAGGTCATACAGAGTTGTGTGAAATCTTATTTTGATCAGAAACGTTTGCTCTACAAATCTGTGTGTTTAGAAAAATTTTAATTGCATAAGTATCCAGGAAAAAACCATTATTTGAAGGCCCGTCTTTTCGAGGCTCTTAGAAAACTTGCTCAAAATCCCCGAGAAACCACTTTTGTAATCAAAAGCAATACAGATTCTGGAAGTAGACACTTCAGGCTATCTTTCCATGTGCGTATCTCAAAACCGATTTTTTGACCGAAAATCACCATTTCTGAGGGGGGGCCCTTAACAGTTTCGTCCAGGCGGTCATCATCATGGGAAATATCACATTTCACCCTTATTTTGCTGATACCCCCTCGGTATTTACTTATTAAACTTTTGACATGTCAGCAAATCGATTTCTACTTGATTCGCTTTATGGTCCCAAAAATCCCGTCAAAAAAGATTCAGTAGTAAGTAGTTGTAGTCTTTTTTGATAAGGAGTGAAGAAATAAAGAAAAGTATACAAAATATACTTTGTATCTTATACACATAGCACAGAGTCAAGGACTTGGAAATAAAAGTCCTCACAAGCATAACTCATTCTACACTTTGTTTTTATCTTTTTTCTTTGCATAGTGCTTTATGATTTCGAAAAAATGGCTTATTGTAATTAAAAATTCTTTTGATGCTGCATTAATAGTTTTCATGACATGATACGAACTGTTAAGGCAATTCAAAGAATGTTGCCCAGCTTTCGTTTCAATAATACAAACAACAGAAGAAAAATATTGTTGTCATATATTTATTCATGATATAAACGACACACACTGTAAATCGATGAGCACTGCAGTCAGAACTTGTCCTGTGTTTCTCTCTGTATAAAGCGGACGGTCTGTTATATGTAATTGAAACATACCGAAAAATTTTGTTGATCAAAAGTATCTTTTTTTTTGATGATCAACAAAATTGATACCCATTTTTTTTTCGTTCTGTATAGAGAATGGAAAAAAAATATTTCTTGTCTTATATTATTTAACAACATCTTCGTATTCTTCATTGACAGAACGATGCTAATTTCTGTTCATCACACGATTTATTGACTGAGTAATTATGGTGATGATAATTAATAAAACTCGCTTAGAATAAACGTCAATTAAATTTATAAACAAAACACATTCGTCCTCTGCGTAGCGTAGCACTCTCTCTCTCTACGTACAATTCTTCATGTAATACTATGATTGTTGTCTTTCCAGACTAACAGTTTATACAAATTACATAACAGTATAAAATAAATCACATTATTCTCTTTTGCTTTGACAAAATTGCAGCAATAAAACAAAATTTTTATCTCAACCTAGATAATCCTCATTCAATGTTAGAGAGAAAACTTCAATATTTACATCATGGTGTCGCAAAAAACAAAAAAAAATTCCCATGTGAGATACTTTTTATTATAATAATGAGAGAATTTATGCATACATGTTATAATATCAAATACTAACATCACTCATCAATCAAACGTGATAATACGTTAAAGTTTTACACAATCTCGTAACGAAATTTATATTATAGAGTGTCTTGTGTTGTTTTTTTTTTTTTTTATCGAATCGTATTATCTTTAAAAAAGAGAAAAGAAAAAAACGTATTCAATTTCATTACAACAGATGAAATAAAAGTAAAACTAAATCATATCACTCATTTTTAACTATTTTTAATTCAACATCAAAACAATCTTGTTTTTCTAAACATCGTATAAATGTCCAATATTTTCCATTATCAAATAGACGAATATGTGTAATAAATTCACCATCTTCAAGTCCCATCATATTTAAATTTAATTCTTTTAATTCACCTGTTGTTGAATCTAATAGATAATATTCATTAAATTCTTTTATTTGTACAATCCATTGATTTGAATTGGGTAAAACTGTCAAAAATTGAAGACAAGGTATTGCACATGTTGAAGATGGTGGCATTAAACGACGTGTTCGTCTAACAGAATGAATATCAAAAAAATCAATAACAAATGTTGAATCTGATCGAGAATAAACGTTCATAGCCATTATTGATGATGGTGGTTCAGATAGACGAATTTCATGTATATCACCATATTTTGATAAATTTTCTGTTTTACGAATTAATTTCATTTTTGATAATGACCAATGTTCAAGTGATAAACCAAATGAATGACATAAAATTAAATGATCATCATTGGTGGTCATCGATGATATTGATGTATCAGGATCGTCTGTTTGTCTTTAAAAAAAAACAAGAGAAAATAGAAAAGAAAATATTAATTAACAAAATGATATTAAGAAAATGAAGTTTACTTTATTTCTGGAATTATTTCTATTTCATATGTTTTACAGTTAAATTTAGCCAAATGATTTTTAGATAAAATAAGAAATTTTTGAAAATATGAACTCCACTGGAGTGAACGTAATTGATTATTATTATTCCATTCTATTTGTGCCAATTGACGATCTTTATCAAATAGAATTAATAATTTATTTTGATTTTCATATACTAAAATATATTGTCCATCATTTGATACTTCCAAACGTGTAAAATAAACATTTGATAAAACTTCACTATTATCACCTATCATATTTTTTAAATGAAATTGATTAATATAATGTGAAGGATGAACAGTTTTTGTGATACATTCGACACTAAATTGATGAATATTGGAATTTAATTCACCCCCATTTTCTATTGTCGTTTGTTTTTGCTTAACATTACCCATTGATCTAGAAACAAATTCGTTGTTTGCATAACTCGATGATATATATATATATATATATATAAATCTTTCAAGAATATGTTCAGTCAATAAATTGGGAAATATATGTTGTCTCTACAGCCAAAAAATTTGTGTTATGCATTTTACGTACATAAACACACATATAGAAAGAACATAGGATACATATTTTATTTATTTTGACAACGAGTAGTCTATAGCTATATCTTTAATTCTTTTTTTTTTTCGTTCTGTATTCTATACACTCACCACAGTGAAAAACGAATGAGAAGGATTTTTTTATTTTTCTTCTTCTTATTCTCCTCTCTGTATCAAAAATATAAAGATTATGCATAAAGATAATAGGTAAGTTGTTCGTCAGACGAACACTTGCTGTAATATATAGTAAACAAAAGGTTTAACAATCATTCAAGGTTTAACCAAGGTAGAAAAAACAGCCGATTTTAATAACATCGTTTGAATAACACTTATGGAGTATCAATCTTAATTGTTGTTCCGTTTAATTTCAATAACTATCATCTTAATATTTTTTTGTTTTTGTTCTATGACTATATAAAGATCACACAAGATTTTTTACTATTTTCACATTTGTTAACTTCTTCTTTTTCATCTTATTGTTGTAAGTTCCTATTTTTCTTATTAAAATATATACATACACTGTAAGATTGTTTCCTTGAACGACTAAGTTTAGTTGAAAAGGTGTATTTTTGTTTTTTTTTACTATTTTAGATAAATAATATTTGACGAAACTTTATGAAATTAATAATAATTTTAACCGTTGAGAAAATCATTCATTCATTCATTCATTCATTCATTCATTCATATCATTACTGTAATCATTTTCATTAGTGTAAAATAAAGGTACAGTTTGTCGTCGTTTGATTGAATCAATTTGTGTATATTGTATAGAAATATAAACGTGAATGTTCTGTTTATTTATCTGAATACTTGACACATATGTAATGACAAGAAAATGAAGAGATCTACACATTTTCGGATCCAGATCCGAACGTGTCAAAGATTAGTTAAAAAAAGAGTTTTTCAAACCCGATTATTCAGGTCTCTACGAATGACATCAAGCAGAATGTTTTTTTTTTTNTCAACTTTGAAAAAAGTTTTTCTCTTCAGTAACTACTGTCATTTGTGTATGCCAAATGTTTCTCTTCTTATTGTGATGGTTAACAATAGCTATTTTCTTTTTATTTATGAACATATGCTGTTTTGCAATCTAATTTCTTTGTGTTTATCCCACTTAAGAATGTTTTATCTTTTATTTCTTTCATAGTGACAGAATTTATGAAGAGTTTGTAGTCTTTTTTGTTGAGTGAAAGTCATGCATTTATTTTTGTTCGAAGGTAACTGACAAAAAAAATCGTCCAGTCACAAATTCTCTGCAAGTCTATTCTATACATGACTTTTATACAATAGCCATATTTTTATTGAAGTGATGAACCATAAGATCATTCTCAAATAGTTTTGATATTGACAAAAGATTGCTAGAAATAAATGGTTAAATTTATCTAACAATAAGATCTTTTTTCGATTAACTATTGGTACATCTATTAACAGCATTAATTTGCTTGATTAAACAAATAAGTAATGTAGAAAAAAAAAAACATTCTGCTTGATGTCATTCGTAGAGACCTGAATAATCGGGTTTGAAAAACTCTTTTTTTAACTAATCTTTGACACGTTCGGATCTGGATCCGAAAATATGATCTTCGATTTGAATTTTTCATTAAATTTTTTACAAGAACTAGTCGTCTGCTACAACAACATATGTTCATAAATAAAAAGAAAATAGCTATTGTTAACCATCACAATAAGAAGAGAAACATTTGGCATACACAAATGACAGTAGTTACTGAAGAGAAAAACTTTTTTCAAAGTTGACCATACATGATTCTAGTCATTGGTTAGTTTTAACCGTCACACTGAACTTCATAGATATTTTATCCTATTATCAAATGATTCTATCATACTTATTTGCACATGTGACCAATGTAACAGGAATGAGTTAGTTATGAATTTGTAATACCATGTTTGTATTAATTGTGCAACTTATTGTACAGTCACGTGTGTGTATGACAATGAGTGTTGATGGAATATTACCACCGTTTATAAACACATTATCTTCTGTAAAAGGTACGATTGACGAGAGTACAATTCCTGATGGATAATGTTACTGTACGATAGTACATGTTTATGTTTTATATGTGCCATATGCGATAGTCCTATATTTTGAATGAAATAACTTCAAGGTACTTTAAGATTATTCCCTTATTTTTCGCCTATTCAATCAATAATGCAACAACGTCTATCGCCAAAAAATAAAGAGAAATATTGGACTGATCTCAAATAATTGAGACAATATTTGTATTTTCTGTCGTTCATTAGAACGTGGCATGATTATGAAGCGTATCACTCAAAAAAATGATGTGTGCTCTGAGATGCTTGCTAGTAGAATCTACTCAGATTTTTTGATAAAAAATGAGTAGCAACTAACGTTATTGATAATTGACGATGATAGGAATTAGACATGAACAAATATTGCTATTTTTAACAAGATTTGATCGTTTTTACTTTAGTATTTGTGGTTATTTTGGATTTCTTAATATGAGATACGCGTTTAATAAGAGATTCATTTGATGTGAGAAATTATTAGATATTAGCCATTTTTATCCTTCATATTGAAATTATGACATTTTTTTAATCTTATAATTTTCTCTTGAAATAAAAGAATATTTATTCTGATGTATTTGTCTGTTGGCCAAATGTTATGGAATTTCATTTTTTGGTCTTCTGTGCCCTTTATCTCGACAAAGAAGCAACGTTTATTAATGAAATCCATACCAATGATGGATATTAGGGAGTTCTACTATCAAAAATAATTTGAGTTTGATTGAACAAGTAGATCAAAAGTTATAGTTAAAATAGAGGCCGTTACGGAATTTCAAAAAATGGAAGTGTTTTTCAGGGTATAAAATGTAAATTATTCGGCCTAAAATTAATTTTAAAATGATTGCTTGATTATCAAATTAAAGCTCACAGTTGGGGCTATCAGAATCACTACTGACGTTTTCTTGAATTAGTTCCCTGGAAAAAGAAATCGAGTAAAAGTGATCGTTACGGAATTTCACCGTTTTTTGCTCTGATTTAGTATATATTTTCTGTCACAGAATTACTTAGCAAGCTCTTATTTGCACATAGACAGATAGTCTGAGATGCCCTTCATCCTATGCAGCCAAAATAAATTTTCAAAATTAGATTAAATGGGCATAAATTGCTCACAAAATAAGCGCCAAAAATATTTTAGAAAAAAAAAAAATTGGCATCTAAACGTCAAAACAAATGAGCCCTTTGGTAGAGGATTTGATTCTCTATCCGACGGTATAGTTTTCAGAATTTTTGAAAAACGTATCTAGATCAGGAAATTAAATTTAAAATTTAAATTTTCACCACGAAGATTTGACTTTCATTTGCTTTTGAGTCCAGATTGTAATTACCGTGAAAATCTGCGTCTAATGATGTATTTTTAAGCTTTACTCAAGTTAAAACAAAAATTCGAACCTTCTCATCCGAAGGTGGACCGTTAGCTGACCACGTTGTATATCAAAATTTCACACGTTGTCATGAATTTTATATTTCAGCACCTTTTTACAGTGCATTTCTAGACTAGCTACATGTTTAACTAATACTTAACTAATAGATAAGATAACCTCAAAGATCTCTGTTTAGTAAATGACGCACGAGCTTTGTTTAACCATTTACGTAAAGCCAAAGAAGATCTCCAAATCAGGATTTAAGTATTCGTGTACAAGGACCAACTAATACAATGTCTTGCCTCTCTAATAGAGTATAAATAAATCACGTCATGGCTGACAAAATAGTATCTTTTGTGCTTGATACGCTAAGCAGAATAAAAGACAAAACTGAAATACTATTTTAAATTAAAATTATATAAAAGAAATTATTTAACCCTTTACCCACAATATCCACAGGCGTGGACATTGGTAAAATCGGTATAAAAAAGTAATGAAACATACGATCAAAAAACTAATTGTTTATCGTTTGTAGAGAACTTCATAAGCTATCGTTTGCTAAAAAAAATTTATTTTGTATGTTGCTTTCTCTCTGAGATAATTAAAATTTAAAATTAGTAATTTTTCTAAAAAAACATTTTCGCCTGTTCAAATTTTTTCACTGAAAGACTTTTATTTCAAAAATTTTGTGCTGATGAAGAAAGATTCATTAAGATGTTCTGTTTTATATGATATCACTGGAACAACCTTCTACTTACAACAGTGGACTGCCGATGATCCAAAACGAAACCACCATTTTTGCTGGAATTTTACACTGTTTTTCCAGATGTGTTTGCTTTTGTTCATCAAGTCGCCATATTATGCTTCCGACACAAATCGAATCTAATGGATACAATTTAGTAGAACTATAGCTTCAACTTGTAGCAAAAATTTTACAAAAAAGATCTTGTATATAATTTATAATAAATTTTAAAAGCTGAAAATTCAAATTTTTGAATGAATTTAAAAAATTGGATTTTAAATGTGGTATGTTTATAACTGAATGCCCCTAACTTCCATTTCAATGGTTAGCTTTCAAAAAGCTTTAAAGAAAAGCTCGTGGGGGGTAAAGGGTTATGATAGATTGGTAAATCATTAATTATTATAGTATTAGTCGTATGGATCTTCAAAAAATAGCAATTTCTCAGATGATGACCATTTAACTAGTGTCGCGACTTTGTTTTAACGGAGAAAAAAACATCAAGAAGTAGGAGATATAGCGATTTTAGAAATTATGGAATCAGTAAAGATGTTAAAGATAATATATGAAAAAAGACCTTGTATCCCTATCTCAGACGTTTTACACGTAAAACAGATGTTAATATCTCATTTCTAGTATCACCTAAACATTCAAGAAATTTGTTTTTACAAAAATCGTGTTGTATAAACATTGCAGTCACAGTTTTCAAATAATTTCAAGAATATGTACGGGAAAATTTGAAATTATTTTTTCTCAGTTCTTTATAAAATATTCATCTCTATCTGGAAAATACATGTCTTCTCTCACTTAAATTTAGTTTCGTTCAATCACAACGCCAAAAATAATTCGTCTCATCTTTTTGTCATCAGTTTATCAGATATTTTTACATTTTTATTGTTATTATCTCTTTGTATACAATTGTCAATAGAAGAGGTAAAAGAATTCTTATGATTTAAACGATCATACTACGCACATGCTTAAATAATCATACAAAAAAAATGAAACCTGACCAAACTAAATAATAAACTAATTTTCTTTCGGTGTTTTTCGACGTGTATATGAGTCATCCTCTATATCTGTCAATACTGCTGAACAACGACGTTCTGGTATTGTAATTAAACTGCTCAATCGTCCTCGTTCTTGTTGATCATTGGATAATACTCGTACAACTGTCGATGGAAGATATTGAGGAACAGATGAATACGATTCGCGACTATTAGTCGACATTGATTGTTCGTGGGTTTGACCTAATTAGTAAATAAACAATTAATATTGCAACACACTAATGATCTATAGAAGAAAATAAATGAAATGTTAACCATGCTATTTGAAATTCAGGTGGCTTTATATCTTCTAAAAATCTAACCTAGTTATTGAGGTAACTGGTTACCTCTATGCATTAGACCGATCAATACAGTTCTTTTTGTTTATAACGATCTGGTCTCTCAACCATAAGTGCAAACTATTCTACGTCTTAGTATTCTGCTTTTTTACATCTAACAAGATAAAATGCGAATTATTTTGTTGTTGCATTTGCCTGTTATTATTTCAGCTTGATTTGATTCCTGTAGTGATGATTGAGATCGTCGGTAAGCTTTGGGTTGTCTATGACGATGATGATGATGATGTTTCGATTTTCTACTCTTAGATCTGTCTCTTTTGCTCTTTTTCGATCGATGATGATGGTGGTGATGTTTTCGTTTTTTGGTGGCTGATCCTGTAGGAACCTGTTCATCTTCTTGAATTTCATCGTCTGTCACAATAATAAATGTTGGTGTTCTTTCTCGAATCGGTTTGACATAATTCACAATTTCACAAAAGTCACTTGAGTGTGTCGAAGAACGCGATCTTGAACGAGAACGAGCTCTCGATGTTGTTGTTTGCGATAACGATGAATTGTGCTATAAATAAAAGTGCACTGTGTTAGATATTTTCATCATAATACCTCTCTCGTCTACGTTGATTCAATAAATGTTTTCAACCTGCATCAACAATAGAAGTGATTATTCTAGTGTGAGAAATGATCAGCTTAATAATAGCTTTTGACATTTATCAGATTTAACAACAAAAAGAGTTCACTTCAAAACTATTTCACTCTAACTGATGTTTCCAACGATCAAATATTGATCCGCTTACTGTAGAAATTTCTGTAATATCGTTATCTGTTGTTACCAACGGTATTTGATTTAAATCGACCGGAGCATCATTCTGCTGTTGCTGTTCGTCTTCATTTTCACTATCGACAACATCAATGACAGGCGATGACTGTCCTATTTGTTCTTGTCTGTTTAATCTTCTCTCATAGATGGCATGCCGATCAAAACCCAACACATCATATGGACATTGACTAAATGAATAAAACTCATGAAGAAAATGTTTTGTATGTCGACCAAGATATTGAAATAATTGACGTTTGACACGACGAGATTTAATTTCATTGTGTTGAATCGTTTGAAGTATCTGACGAATAACCTGCTCGATGGTACGTTCATCATTCCATAAAAGAGCCAATAGTTCACGAGCTAGAACATTGCAAACAGTAACATGTAAACGTAAAATAAAGATAAAGATTAAACAGATGCGTGTAACATTGAAACGCTTAACTAAATAAATCTATCTTTAGTGTATTGTTAGGATTGACTAAACAAAAAGGTAAATCATCGTTGTTCTACAGGAAAAAAATACAAAGAATTGAAATTAAAAGTAATTAAACCGCAGATAGACTAGAAAATAGTACCTCTCAAACCCTTCAATAAAGCTTAGCTACTAGATGCATCTGTCATTGGCATTATTTTTCCTCAACTTGTGATTACGATCTACTTACCTAAAAATGGTACTAGACGATGTAAACATGCCGGATTTTCTCGGTACCATTGTGGTGAACATTGACGCGTTTGATTATTTGTTGCCGGTAATTGTACGTATAGTGAATTTAAATATATGTATTTACGAAAAGCTACTGTCTGTCGAGTAGAGGCAGAGTGTATTGTTGATTGACGTAAATCCGATGTTGTCTGTCTTAAATAGCGTTGAAGATAGTGATGAATGGTGTCTAATGAGATGACTGACGACCAGTTTTGATTACCACGAACTAATGGTGATAGCATAGACGAAGCCGAAGATGAACTTTGCTCTATAGTTGTGCCAGTAGTTGCACGACTTGGAAGAGCGGATGCTGTGGAAGTAAAACTAAAATAAACCAGGCTCATTGACACTTTATCCAGCGCTAGAAATTCTAATAAAACATACTTTGTTCGAGGTGTTTGAACGATCGATTGTAGGGTGTGTAACCATTCCATGTAGACCATTTGTCGAAATATTTCTTGTTCGGATGAATTTTGAGTTGTGTTTATTCTTGAGCCGTGTCTGCTGACCCAATCGAGAACATCCTGCAATGACTGTGATTGTGGCGGTGGTTGAATTGAGACTGTTTCGAATATTTCTCCCGAATATCCGTCTCTCGGACGTTGTATTGATGTAAATGGCTGTTTACATAATGGGCAAATTGCTCGAACTTTTGACCACTCCCAAATACACGAATAACAGAATGTATGTGAACACGAATCGATGGATGATGTTTCATTTGCACGTTTAAAATTTAGGCATACGGCACATTTTTCGGGTGACGAACATCGTAGTGGTTCATCTTTCAATTTCGATTCACGATATTGAAAACATTGAGATAGAGAGGACGACTCGGATTCCATCTACAACAGACGAAAAAAAATGATAAATAACTGAATCCTAACAGATGATAAATACTCTATTAATTATGTTATTATTTTACAATCCCAGTTAACTATTCTGAATATGATGTCTCCAATTCATATCAATTTCATCTCTTTTATTTATCATATCTCTTTTTTCCTAATTATTCAATAATAGAATCAAAACGATGCAAAGTAGACATGATCAATAGAACCAAAAAAATCACTAAATTTAGTCTGTAAATTATTTCAAAAGTTATTTCGGACTCGCAAAAGTAAAGCATAAAAATAATTTACAGAAGATGATCTAATAAGCATAAAAGGATATTATCGATGATTGAATACAAAAAAATAAAGATATTCTATTGGTATAAAAACAGCACAGGACATTTCAAGTTACGCTATAATTTTTGAGTTTTAACAGTAACATATTGATTAGATAGATCCATTAGATAACTTTCATTATTTGAAACTTTAGACAATTTGTTTGAAAGAATCCATTTATGATTCTATTTATCGACACTTCGACTTAGATCGTATATCCCAAACTATACAGTAGTAAAAATACAAAAAGACTCATAATAATTCTAATAAAGTGTACTAAGTGTAACGTGCATCGTAATTTTATTTAGTATAGTAAATTGAAAAACCGTTCATTCAGAATTGTTGAACAGAAAATAATAGAAAATGAAGGGGAATGGAAATCAATTTCCAAATTTCTTTGTACCAAATACTATGTACCCTTGAATTCTAATTAGTAAAGCATTTGGTCATGGTGGAAATTGAATTAAATGGCAAAATAATGCCAACGTAAAAAGTAAGATCGCTAATATTTGACAGAACACTGTCTACTTCTTTTGTTTCCTACAGTTGATTCATTTGTCAGTTCATGTTAATGAGAATTGTCAGTTAATCTACAGAATATTTTGCACAGGGACAAAATATGATCACTTTAAAATCATGGACTTTTGTCATCGAAAGGAGTTTTTGAAAAACTATATGTCACATATGCATTACATAGTGTTTATATCGAAGGATATGAAGTCAGTGGCAGATCTAGAAAAGTTTTCAGAAGGTGCGTCTGCACTCATCATAAATCCATCACTAGGATGTGTACACACTCTTATATAACAACATCTGCTTCAACTCACAAGACTAGTTACAAAAGAGATGAAAATTAAACAATTAGATGTTATTCCAGTTAAAGTACAATATTTTAGCAAAAAAAATGGAACGGAACTGAGTACAAACGATGTACATGTACGTTGATAAACCGCAAGACAAAACAAAAATAAAAAGGTGAACAACAAGAAAAATAATAAATCTCTTTCATGCTCGTCCAACAAGAATTCGAGATAAAAAATTAAGTTTTTATGCAAACTTTATTGTAAACAATAAAATAATAACTGTATTATTGCGACGCAATGAATAATCGTATCTCTCATCATCTTTAACGAAAAATAGACGCAAAATATGAACAAAAAGACCTTCTATGAAGAACATTCAATTAGCCGCAGAGAAATATTTCCATCGTCCAGAAAAGTCTTTTAATAGATAAGTACGAAGATTTTTCCTTCAGGTTGCAGCGACTATTAGACACTTCTTCTGGATCAGCCACTAGCTCAATAACACCCGATTGATATGATTTCGACTGGATTAAAAAAGGAACATTTTAGGATAATGAGCTCATATAGGCATGATCATTTTTGTTGTAATTTCTATTTAGCAATAATTGAGATTTTAATCTCGTTTTCGTTTTGTTTCTTTTGATGCTACTGTCTATGTATTGCCAAACGCTAAAGAAATATCATTTGGTCAAGTGCCTTCATAGGCGATCAGGATTCGTCAGTTGTATACACATCGAATCAATGAGAATTCAAACCGCTCGCGAACGATTCAAAATTTATACAAAAAACAGTCTTTAATCAGAACATTAAAACGGCGGAAAACTCTCTCCATAAAAGAGTCGACAAAGTACTTACAAACTAGTGTATAGAGAGAGATAAAAAAGAATAAAAACAAATAACAAAATAGCAAGAGAGTAGCAACACTAAGTTTGTTTTATAACTGTAAACATGGCTAAGTTCTACTGTAAACGACGCTGAAACAGAGCTATTTTGAATGACGATAAAGAAGATGAACGAATAAATTTCGGACGTTTATTGTAGTCACTAACTGTTGATAAAAGAAGGAAGAAGCGGAACGGTTTGTAGAGATATAAATAACAGCATCGTAGAAGCCAGGAGCCTGTTTCTTAAAAAAACTTAAGTGAAACTTAAGTCCAAAAAAGTCTTTGTCTTTTTTGACTTAAGTAAGTTTTTTTAAGAAACAGACCCCAGAAAATTAATGGTATGTGGACTGAGGCTAAATGACTCATCCCTTCTATAACAGATTATGCACTTTGAATATGTATCAGGTAAAATGAAATTCATTGGGTGAATCTATTAAATTAAATAAAGTTTTTAGTCAGAAAAGTTTTGGCGTTTTGGGTTTTTTCTGGAAAGTAGTAGTTTTCGAGATAAATAAATTTTGCCGAAACGACGGCGCTACTGTAAAGTGTAAAATGCCTTTATTTTGAAAACTGCTGCATTCCAGAAAAAACCAAAAACGCCAAAACTTTTCTAAT